AAGGGATCTGTATGTGGCACTCATGTGGGTTTTGGATGGATGGATGGATGTGTGCAGGCAGAGGAGCCCGGTTTGTTCGACATCCTCGGCTCGACCGAGGAGCAGCGGCGCAAGTTCTTCGCGTACACTGCCATGCTCGCCGCCAAACAAGTCGCCGAGTAAGAAGAAAGAGAGAGAGCGCAGGTTGCCACACGAACACCCCATGCGGATGCGCATGTTCGTTCATGCGTGTGCTGCCTCACTCAGGAACATGAGCACGCACATTGTGTGTGAGCGTCTGGGTCAGCTGATTCTGTGTCAGTACTGCCAGAAGACGGAGCTGCCCCGCATCGCAGACTTCGGCAAAATCACCATCGAACGCGTCAAACAGCACCACCGAGTGAGGCAGCCAGCGCGGCTTGGACCTGACACATGCGAACGAGATACACACAGCATGTGATGTGCCCGCGTTGGTGTCTTGCTGTGCCTGCAGGGCGAGTTGTTCAAGTTCCTGTTCAAGACCCTGCAGTTCATGCACACCGCCAGACCCGAACTGTCAGCCACACACACACACACACACACAGAGTGGTCGTCATGTGGGTACGTGGCCGTGTGTACGGTTGTTTGTGTGTGCAGGTTGAGCAAGGTGGCGTCTGAGTTGACCAAGTTCCTCGGCGTGCGCCTCCCGGCCGACGACATCAAGGCATTCAGATTCGACTTCATCAGACTCGGTGGGTGGGTCGATCAGGGAGGGGCCATAATCACCGGCCACCAGCATCCCTCGGTCTGTCTGTCTGTTTGTTTGTTTGTTTGTTGTCAGCGATGGACTACGTGCTCGAGGACCCCGAACACAATGCCAACTTCTTCGAGAAAATCAGGTAGGTACCAAAGGGACACCCATCCATCGTGTGTCCATCCATCTGTGCATGTGTGCGTGCGGCTGTGCAGCCCGTTTGCGTCGCGCCACTACCTCAACGAAGAGGACGCCAAACTCGAAGCCAGACGGATCAACGTACACACACCCCCACCACATACACACACACACATACATGCCTTGCCATATATGCATTGGCTTGCTGCATTTGTGTGCGTTTGTTTACACAGTGGCAGTGTCACCAGCACGAGGTGCCGTTCGACGGCCCCATCAAGGACTTCTGCCAGAAACTCTTCCGCAGAGCAAAGGGGTATGCACACACACCCACACACCCACAAGCCCTCTTTGCCTCCCTCCCTCTCCTTGTCTGTCCAGCAAGCGCAAGGGTGCCCCTGCCGCAGCTGCGGCAGCCAATGGTGACGGTGAGGCTCGCCCGAAGGCCAAGGCGAAGGCCAAGCGGGCCAGCAAGCGCAAGTCGCCGGCGGCAGGGGACGACGACGACGACGCTGATGGCAACGATGACAAGGGCAATGGCAATGGCGACGGGGAGGACGAAGTGCTCGAGGAGGAGGAGGAGCACGAGGAGCGGCCACGCGCCAAGGCCAAGGGCAAGGCCAAGGGCAAGAAGCGCACCAGGCCCAACGACGGTGATGGCGAGGAGCAGGAGGACCAACAGGGCGGAGAGGGGGTACGCACATGGACAGGCTCACGCATCCACGTATGCATCCATGTGTGTGGTGTTGCTGTGGCTGTCAGGATGACGACGAGCAGGCTGCAGATAACGACCAAGAGGATGTGAGCAACAAACAGAACAGCGATCGACCACACACACAGACACACACACACCCCTCATTCTCCTCTTTCTTCGTCTGTGCATATGTGTCTGTCAGCTGGCCCATCGTGCCCGTGCCAAGGGCAAGAAGAAGCCTGCAGCCGAGGCGAAGGGCCCCAGGGCCAAGAGGCACCGCAAACAAGACCAAGACCAAGCTGAGGGTGGTGGTGAGGAGGACCAGCCAGCGGGGGACGGTGGAGATGAGCAGCTGGAGGAGGAGGAAGAGGAATAGGAGGGCTGAAGGGCCGCAGCAATCTTGATAGCCTGCGACCCGACCCTGCCTGTGCGCGCGTGTAGCGTAGTTGACGACAGATATCACTTGCGGTTGTATGCTAGCATAGCCACACGAGTACCACTACACACGCTCGGTTGGTTGACGGATACGATTGATAAAGGGAGGGAAGGAGGGCGCACGACGCACCCACACACACCACCAAGAACACCATCCATCCATCCATCCCACCAACAGACAGACAGACAGACAGAGAGACAGAGAGTCAGACGCACAGGCAGACAGACAGGTAGGTATGGCCGGCCCGGCCCTGCGACGGACGGATATGTTCCCATCTACATGGATGAACGACTCCATGCCCCACCCACCCCATCCATGTCTGCTGCATGTCTGTCTGCATAAGGCCTGCATTCGTATGTCCGTGCTATTTGTAGACAGACCCATACGTGTGTGCGCCTGCGTGTGCCATGCATGGATGCCCAATTCTTGTATACTAGATGGATCGATGGATCGATCAACATCCGCTCACTCAGTCGAAGCTCGAGGTCTCACGAGTCAGTGTGGCCAATCAGGCGGCATATCACACATGGACAAAGAATGATGTGATGTCACAAGCAGCTGCAGTGCTGGCCTATTTGCCTATCGACCACGGCCCATCCATCCATCCATCCATCCATCCCCTGTCTACCCCTATGTGCTGCCTTTGAGCTTTCGTCGCTCTCATCATATATCTCTTCCTCCGTCGCCTCACCCACACACCGAGTGGACGGACATGAAAACAAGCCGGCACCGGATGCAGCAACAGCTTGGTCATGTCCAGCTGAAGTCGCCTTGTGCCGATGCTGCTCATTCTCGCGGCTCGTCCCCTGTGTGTGCGGTGCTTTCTGCTGGTCGTGTCTCTTTGTGTGGGGCACATTCAGCGGATGGGTATTGTTGTTCCTGACGTATCTGTAAAGGCTGCATGCGAGAGTGAAGTTGACGAGGCCGACCAAGAACCGCGAGGGGAAGTGATGGCGATAAAAGACCAAGGCCACCTATCGACACACCCAGACAAGGCGGAGACTGTGCTTGCGTCCAGGCCGCATGTCATGAGTGGCTTGCATATGCATGTACGTCTATGTACCGACCAGCATGACGATGAAGTGTCTGCCCTCCGAGACGACTGACAGCGTCAGGCTCGACAGCCGACCCACCTGCACGCAAACGCCCACAGACATGCATGGATGGAGACACCAACGGCTGACCCCGACCCCCATATGTACCAGCACAAAGTTGGTGGCAGTGAGCACCGGCCCCAGCACCCCACCAGCCACCAGCAGCACCACAACATACCACAATGATGCTCGTGCCGGAGGCACAACACCAGCCTCACCAAACAGTTCTGGGACCACCCTGAAGGTACAAGGAGCAGGAATGCGTTGTCAGGGAGACAAAGCCGGTATCGTCGAGACACACCATTGTCGAAGGAGTCGGGGCAGGTCGATACACAGCGCCGGGAGCGTCAGAAAAAGCGTCGCAAGCGGCATGGTCATCAGCAGGAGCTGCGATGCCGCGAAGTCTCTGCAGAACGGCAACAAGACGTCTACGCCATCCATGTCTCCACCGTCGATGGAGTGCATTTCACATACTTGCTTTCCCTTTGTATCGTAAGCCATCCAAGCGCCCCTGCAAATGCTGCACAGCACACAGCAACTGTCCCGTGCCAATGGACCACCAGCATTAGAATATTGCCCAGAACCGCCTGAGGCGGAGCAAAGACAGACATGTGTTTGTTTGTATGGATGCGCCTTGCCATGGTGGCCGACCCACCTTGGCTGCGAGTGCCCCAGCAAGACTGACGCTGAGCACCGCCACCGCTAATGAGAACCGCGCCTCCTCCATGCCCATACACGAGGCTGCATACAACAAACCAAACATGACCAAGGAAGGCCTGGGTGGGTGTCTCCTGTATTCCCTACCGACGATGAGCACAAGAGTCGGCAGCAGTGTCATGACCATGTCCACAGCAATCGGCTGCAGCGTCGCCAGCCCAACATTCCCAAGCCCGATAGAAATAGCCACGCAGACACCGATGACCGTCATGGGCACCCTCTTGGTATACCACACCGATGTCTCAGGCCACTGGGGCGGTGTGAAGAAATCCAGGACCTTTTCCACGTTGCACAGCCGCTCCCACAGCCGCAGAGGGGGGGATGCGGCGGCAGCATAGTCCAGGAACGCCGCCATGTCGGCCGAGGTAGGCCTCAGCCGCGGCCGCAGAGACACAATGGGCTTGACGGATCGGCAGAGAAAGAACACCAAAACAAAGACAGAGAGGCTCGCCGAGTGGGCGAAACTCACGATAAAGGGGAAGTGGAAGTGGCACACGTGAAACAAGGTCCTGTTAACGGTGATGAGCACCACACTGCCCACGTACGACACCACAACGAGCACGGCCACACCAGCGGCGCCCAGCGGCGTTGCAGGGCAGAGAATCCACTCGACGTCCCCCTGGCCGTCCTTGGTGTCCTCTCCATAGAAGAAATCGGTGAATGCAGCCATGGGAGGGGCGGGGTAGGGCCGAGCAGGACACAGACACAACCCACCGCTGTCTCTTCCATTGATCGACGGCGAAGCGACTGGGTCATGTTGTGGCCGTTCTTCAGGGCACACTGCGTCGTGTGCATGGGGCGCCATCAATGGCTGCCTCTCCTCAAGCATCAACAAAGGCGTCTTTGCACTGGCCACGACGAGTGGATGAGGGGTCTTGGGGCTCTTGAATGGATGAAGGGAGAGAACAGGCAATCAATAGAGGGGATGGGAATTGGAATAAGAAAGGGATATGGCGGGTTATTGTGTGATGTGGGACGTTTTGTCTCATAGCTCGCAACCTTCCTCAGCGATCCCATATATATCTGCACTGGCTGGCCACCTGGGGATGGGCGGTATCTACGTATGGAGTCATGGTGCCTGACGCACGCACGCACGCCGCCTTCAAGCTGCTGCTGGGGGCGTGTGTGCGACGCTGTGTGCCTGCTTGTATGTGGCCGTCGTTCGCAGCGCATTGCATATCCTCCTGTCTGCTGCATCTGCCCTCTGCGTGCTGCGTGTTTCGTGTCCGGGTTGCATGTTTAGGGTGCCTGTTTCATGTTGGACAGACCAACAGGGGACTTGGCCGTCAGGCCACCTAGGGTGCTCCCTGAAACCGCTGCTGCTCCTTAGCGATCCTGAAGCCGCTGCTGCTCCTATAGCGATTCTTTTCCCTCGGAGAAGCGCATCCAAAGATCTGCGCATGGAGTTTGTGGTCAGCGGCCGCCCCATCACTCTCCCCGCTTGTGTTCTGGCTCATCTCCGCTCCCACCATTCGACGTCATGCCTGGCGCTCATGCTGGGCGACAAGTGGATGGAGGGAGCCAAGAAAGATGAACACGGCCGAGTGCTCCTCGACTACGACGTTGACAGCTTCGCCTTCATCATCAAGATCCTCCACAAGGAGTGCCTGGAGCTGCAGCAGCAAGAATTGCGGCGGGAGATAGCCAACCTCGGCTGTCTGACGGTGCCGCCCGGGCTGCGAAAAAGCTACGACTCGCTGAGTGATCTGCTGGGGCTGCGGCTGTCGGGGGAGCAACACAAATTCCCTCTGACCTGCACGACTGTCAAAGGAGAGGGCGAGTGGATCCAAGACGAAGGGAGGCTGACAACGAGCGAGAAGGTGGTGTTGTGGTTCCCCGTCAAGAGTGCGACTGCCCCGACTATCGCGGCCTTCACCGTGGAGGCGTCGACTGCTGTCAAGCCCCGGACACCGGCCCGTCTGCTGTTCAAGATCGCCATCGTGGGACAGTGTGGCCAAGCTGCCACCACGGCAGTGATGCGGCGGGATCGGGCGGTGGTGACGACCAATGGTGAGGCCCCGCTGCTGTGCTTCTCGGGTCAGCAAGACAAGGTGGGCATCGGTGTATTGAAGCGAAAAGTGGAGGTGGGGATGCCGCTGGCCTTCCAGCGGTGGAATGAGGTGGCGCGCACTGAGCAGGGCTTCCTTGGCCCCAAGACGGTGACGTGGGTGCGGGTCAAGTGCAGGCCATTCACCAACACGTAAGCGTAGACCACACCACACAACAGATGACTTGACACACACGGCTGACTGACATAAATGAAGATGTGTACGTATGGCGTGTCCTGTCAGGTGGAGGACGCTGCCCACCGTCTTCACCTTCAAGCACGGCAAGACCCTGGAGGAGTGTGTCTGACCGACCGTGGGCTTCTGGCCGGATGTGTAGTGTATTGAGGACGTCGCATGATACGTATTGCTTTTGTACGATAGACCTCAGTTGTCGCGCATCTGTGCCATCCTTCTGTGCTACTGCGCTGCTTCACGCGTGTTCGGTGTTGCTTTGTTTTATGAAGTCACGTGTGTGGATGTCAGCTTTCCGCTCATTTTCGTCACTTTTTATTACGTAGTCGCTGTGGCCAATGCGGACACTGTTTGTTTGTCTCAAGTCTGTACGTACAAAGACAAATGCGACCGGCTGACACGCGTGGCTCACACGAACACACATTCATTCACCCACAGATCCGTCCCTCCCTGGCGAGCACACACATAACAAGATCAAGATCAATCGACTGGGCTGTACACAGCCATATCCAGCCCTTACAACACACCAGCGCACACAAGTGCATGACAAAACAGGCAAGACACACAGGTCACAAAGTCTACCAAAGACGACGCCAGCTCTCTCAAGTATCAGCCAGCCACCCGAATATACTCAATCAAGTTGCCCTTGATCGCCTCCTTCTGAAACTTGCGCTCAGAACGAAGCTGATTCTCGGCGAGCTTGAGGCAGCGGACACCCCATCGGCGCGTCCCTCCCTGTCTGGCGAAGAAGTCGAGCGCCGCCTGGGCAGCAGCGTTATTCGGGAACTCTATGAAATTTGCACGAAATCACACACGGCAGCCTCAGTCTCCTCCGTACACACGTTTGTCATCGTGAGTATGTCCTACCAATGGGCAGACGCATGCGATTCGGGTCGACAGGGCGCTTGTCGTCGAATTGGTGCGGCATCGTGATGAGCGCCCGAACGCGGCCGGGGAGGGCGTCGAATAGTCTCTTAATGTTGGTGCGACTGCTGGACTGGGTGAAGAGGAAATGCGCGTTGACGGTTTCCACACGCTTGAGCATGTCGAGGAAGCCGGCATCCTTGATCGGTTCAGTGCAGTACAGACACTGCAGACACACAAACAGAGACAGACGTGAGAACAGTGCGCACTCGGTGACTCCCTCGTCCTGTACCTTTGGTGTTGTCAGACTCGGACAGTGTGACAGCCAGTTCGCCAGACACTCCGTGTGGTAGTGCATGCCACATCTTGCACACGCAATATCACCATGCTCGTCACCCAAGCACACGCCGCACTTGAGTCTCTCGGGCGCGGAATCGATGACGTCTTTGGCCTCGAAAGTGCAGCACAGCTCCACCACTTTCACCTGGGGGTCGCCGCAGCAAGGTACCCCGACGACAGCAAACCATTGATTGACGTTGGCCGTCTCGAGCGTCGCGAACGACTCGTTTCTGGTTGTCTCACACGCATAGCAAGTTGCCTTCAAGGAGAGTGTCACCCTGCCGGGCGTCTTGACGCGAGCCTGGACGCTGTGGAATCCCACTGGGCGGTTCGGCCTCTCCTCTGTCGGCCTGTGGAACTCATTGCACCTCCCAGGGACTGGGTGCAGAGCGCAGCTGCCGCTCAAAGCTTTGCCGCCAGCTGACCGCAAGACGATGGGGACCAGCGACTCCTTCTCAAGCAGGCCGCATCTGCCGCACTCTCCAATGACGAGGTACTCGAAGAACTCATCTCCGATGATGCACTGGCGTACATGGGGTGCTGGAGGCCTCACACGCGCCCACTTTCGCCTCCAGGCTAAACCTCGTCGCCCGTGCACGTACGGGGCTGAGGGCGAGGGACTTCGGCCAAGCATCTGAAAATTGCGCGATCTGCAAGCTGAATTCTGTTTCGTGCGACGGTAGTGCCCTAAAACCGAAGGCAGCAAGAAACCGTGCAGGCCCAGCTTCCCCCCTTGTCCCGATGTCGCGCACTGGCACTGTTGGCCGACATTGGGAGCCCGACAGCTGGAAGAGATCTTCTTCCGAGCCATGCCGCAGCTGTCCCGAGTGTGCAGTGATGCACAAAGGTGGCATTGACATTGAAATCCGCGGTGAGTGCCCTCGACACGGCAAGTCCAAGATCAACATGTATGGGGCCGACTACGGGGAGAACGTGATGGCGAGGCAGATGCAATGCGGGTGCTTCCCCCTGGGCGTCCACGAGGTGTGGGTGGCCATGAAGTCGGTCCATCGCGGCCTGCTGCTGTTCGACATCGATGTGGAGTGCCTCAACTGGAAATGCCGCTGCACGGACACCACTCTGCTTCTCAGCAATCGAGAGGGCCGCCACATTGTGGAGGAGAGTGTGTCCAAGAAATGCTGCTCCAGTCCAAGGCTCAACTTCACCCATTTCGGCATGCGATTCGTGAGGGCGCCGCTACGCGCGAGCGAGAGGTGAGCAAGCTGTTGCCATGCCGCATTCTGATTTCTGACGTGTTGTGAGTGCAGAGAGTTGGAGTTTGAGGTGCCCATCTCGGCTGTCTACTGGAGTCATGACAGCGTCGGGACGAGATTCAATGACGGAAGGACGCTGCAGCAGGGGGTGGACGATCTCACGGCCGGCCGGGTCAGTGCAGGTGACATACCTGCATTCGACGTCATCGTCCACCAGACTCGCCTTCATGCGCTGGTGCGTGCGGGATAGTGAGCTTGTCTGTACACACACACTCGCTTGCGTGTGCGTGCAGGGCAACCGCCGCCTGGCAATGTTCAAGAAGGCTGACGAGTTCTTCCGCAGGAACCCGCACCGTCGTCGTACGTGCTTCCTCGGCCCCAAGCAGGACCGCATTCGCGTCAGGCTCAACATGAACACCCTGACACAGCCGCCGCACAAGCCGAAATTCACCACGGCAATGAACAACCGCGGCGAGACGGTCATGTATCGAGCTACTAGTCCGGCCCCGGCCCCGATGGCGCGCTGTGGGATTTGCAAGAGGGTGAGGTGTGGCTGCCGACGGCCACGTTCAGGTACGCAACCAAACAATGCCGCTGCGTTTGTCCATAGCTGCATTGTCGGTTGTCAGGCTTCGATATCGAGAATCTTTCTGACGGCGAAGATGCTGATATCATCGTTACTCAAGAAGACTTGCGTGACTACCCCATTCCACCTTCGCCCCTGATTCCGCCCGCACGCACCCCCTCTCCTTTTCCCCGCTTTTGAGCAAAAGGCCGTGCGTGCGTGCATGTCCGGTGCGTCTATGTGTGGTCAGGTAGTCTCTCATTTTTACCAGGAGACTGCACACGTCGCGTGCATGTGTGTCCGTTCGTCCCTGTGCGTGGTGGCATGTGTGCATGTGTGTCGTTTCGTTTCCGTGTCGTGTGCTGTTACTGGCTCCCCACGGCGCCAGCCATGAATTTTGTCTGAGTTTGAGTCAATTGTATGCAGTGACTTTTTATCAGCACATCTATGCGTCCGTGGGTGGCTTCGTGTGACGGCGATGTAGTCTAGTGCAGCCTCTGTCTTGCCTTGGCTCGTTTTATCTGCCGCTCTCATTTTTATGCACTCAGGTAGTCAGGAGTGGTCGTGAGTATTTGGACTCGTGTTCAGTGTTGAGTCGGGTGGGTGAGGCGTCAGCCTCAACTGACGCCTCACCCACCCGACTCAACCAACACTGAACACAGCGGGCTCTGCTGTAGGGAGGAAAGCGCGCAACGCTTTCCTCCCTACAGCAGAGCCCGCTGTGGTCTACGTGTGTGCACCACACATGCACGGAAGCATCGTGCATAAATGTCTGTGACTCCCTGGCCAGTATAGATGTCGTTTCGTGCAGCTGCGTTTGTACGATAGCATCAGCCCTGATTGATTTCTGAATGCATATGGGTCATGAAATGCCATCGGTATGCATACGTCGTCCCTGACATTTTGCTTTTTGACCGTTGGTCACTGTGACCAACGCAGACAGCGTTCGTTTGAAGTCCGTACGCACCAGCCCTCCACCCCTTACACCAATACAGTTGTCAATCACAATCCAAACACGCAGCACACAAATGTCAGTTAGCCCCAATTACACACACACACACACACACACATCATCGCATTACACAGCCAGGCTGGAGGGAGGGTGGGTGGATGGATGGATGGATGCCCCTCTTCTCCTCTGGTCGGCAGAGCGGAACACTGATGACCGAGAGAAGGGACGGGGCACTACTGTACACTAAAACACACACACTGCCTCTCCCTGGACACACACGCTGACAATGGGTACGAGTTCGGTGATTGCAGTCGATTGGCTCAGCCAGTCGGTCGACACGCGACTATATACCGGTAGAGACGACGAGAAGACACAAGGACACACCAACGACCGACACACGAGCAGCCAGCCAGCTGAGACACGAAAGCGTTTTCCTGCCTGCGAGTAGAGAAAGTACACAAATGGTCTCTGCCTGCCTGCCAGCCAGTGGGAGTGGTGTGTGGTGTGATGCCATTGGTGGTGTGGCGCGGCTGTCTGCCAGCCGCAGACTAAAAGAATACATGAATGGATGTGTGGATGAGAGCATCCCATGTGGGCGACGTCACCTGCACACCAACGAGAGCGTACTGGCGTCGACAACCAGATGGGCAACAAGAAGCGCGAGGGGGGCAACAAGAAGCGCGAGGGAGCTTGCTTCCTTGCTTGTGTGTGGCTGGGTGTGTGGGTGTGGGTGTGTGGGTGGGTGTGTATCGAAGCAGCACGACCCGGGGTGCCTTCCTTCCTACCAGTCCGTCCTCTCTTTTCTTTCTCCTCTCCGGCGGCCCCCTCTTCACAAACACAAACGAGACCGACCGACCGACCGACCAATGAGACGAGACGCGACGAGTCAACACGAGTCAAGGTTACACACAGACCAGTACCTCACTCGGTTCATTTGCGAGCATCCACACATACACATATACACACACAAACGTGCAGCAGCCAGTTTGTTAGCAAGTTACGATACATGCATGCCGAATTACAACATGGCCAACCAACCAATCCATCAATCAATCATCAGGCACTAACACTCATCGCGACAGACAGACAGACAGACAGCAGAGGGCGTCTGTCTGTCTGTCTGTGCGGGAAAACTGCGGGGATTGAAAGTGTTAGAGAGAGAGAGACAGAGAGAGAGAAAGCGCCAGCAGCGACCGGGTCATCAGTTACATGTATATGTACACCACCCGCACACATAGAGCATATAGAAAGCCAGGCGTCAATCAGTCATCGTGTCGCCAAGCCAGCCAGGGCACCCATGCAGGTAGGCAGGCAGGCAGGCAGGCTGTATACAAACCGCGACTGCAGCGAATTCTCAAGGAAGAAACACTAGACACACGTGCGGCAGCCACACTACACCACACACAGCGTCGCTCTCTCCACTTGCCTGTCTGCCTGCCTGCCTGCCTGTCTGTCGTCCCTTTCGCCACATGACTATCCACAGTGAGTGCCTATATTTCCTTGCTGGTGTGTGCGGCGAGTGCGTTCAGTCGTTATGTCTTCTGAATGGGAGTGAGAAGACGGCGAACCCGCCCGGCCGCTTGCACTCGTGCACCACCCAGTGCCGCTCGTACGCCTGCTTCGACTCGAAACCACAAACCTGATCAACTCCAGACGAGATGAGATGAGACGACGAGATCTGTGCGTGTGTGTATGTGTAATTGTGTGAGTGTGTGTACCAGGTGCAGTGACTTCGCGGGTTGTTTCTTGGCGACGCCGTCGTCAAAGAACTCCAACTTTTCTTCGTAGTCACCCTGGCGGTTGATCGCATGGATGACCACGCCATACTCCGACAACACACGCTGACACATGGCCACACCACAGACACCAGCAGCAGCAGCAGCAAGATCGGCTGGTTGCTTGATCAGTTGGGCGTCAGGCGTTTCATTCAACCACGGTCTCACCCACCTTGATGTCAGAGACCGAGGTGTCGTCATACCAGTCGAAAATGGCCGTCTCGCCGCCAGGAAACGAGCTATAGTCATAGTACTTGATGTCTGCACAACATTCACTCATCCACAATGAGACCCACCAGCTTCTCCTCCAGCTCTCTATTCCTTCCTGCCCTCGATTGCCCCCATCTTGCCGACTCACCGATCCAGATGCCCCCTCTGCAGACACCATCGCGCCCAAAGCGATCCACCTCCCAGTATCGCGAAACGTTCTTGGCGTCAGGAGGCTCCATCCGCTGTGTCAGCCTATCCAGCACCCACAGCGCCCACAGCCGCTCCCGGTCATCCGAGTGGCCACACGATGCCCGGCCCACCGACGACCGGCCGCCCTCGTATTTGATGTCCCGATCGGCGACGGGCAGGCTGCAATTATGGTGAAGGATGAATGGGCCTTTCTTGTTTGTCTGTTGCGGTGCATTGCCTCACCAGAAGTATTGAAACTCCCTGAGCAGCCGTGTGCGCGAGACGCCCGCCTCCACGTATATGGGCTTGCCATGCCTCTGATGGTGAAATGCACACAGTGACGAACACGCATTGTTGCAATGCTCGAAAGACAGAGAATGCGACTCTTGCGTTGATTTTCTGACCAGGAACGCGACTATGTGGGGGAAGAGATCCGGGTCGCTCTCGATGAACAGCGGCTTGTCCTCTGTGCCCTCGCCGCGGCTCCAGGTCTCGTCGACGAGCTTCGCCAGAAACGAGTCGGGGTAGCGCAGAAGCGTACCGCGGCCAACCTTCAGCAGCTTGCCAGCCTGGTGAATGAGGGAAAACAAAACAGGAACCGGTGAGTCACACAGAGGAAAAACAGAGTGCATGCTGCGTCAATTGTGCAACTCCAGTCCTTTTTCTTTACTTATCGCTTACAACGTCAAGCCAGATGACGCCCTGTAAGGACGTCATCACTTGCCCTTTCCCCTCCCTTCTTCTTGAGCTCGCAATAATTTTGGATCGCCTCAGTGAAAAAGCTCTTCTGAAGGCGCAAATCAGCGTTCAGCAGAGCTCTCGTGAAGGACAATCGACCAGTCGTCTGATATTTCCTCTTATCGTCATCTTATTGCCGTCATTATGCCGGTGCTGTCGAAGAGCGGTCATCTGCAGCTCTACACAGGCCGCCCCAGCTACATGGGCAGCATCACCATGGGCAGGGGACCTCCCAAAGCCCAGCAGACCCATCGCACCCAGCGCTCGTCAGTCCCGATGGTCGTCCTCGGCGCCACCGGTGCCCAGGAGGCCCTGCATGCGGCCCAGCAGACCGTCCAAGCGATGAAGACGGCGTCAGCAGAGCGGCTTGCAAAGCGGACGGCCGTCAGGGAGCGCACCCGCCAGTCGCTGAAGGACAAGGAGAGGGCCGAGTACACGCGGCTCATCGAGAGCAACCCCAAGCTGCTCGGCGGCCTCTCTGCCGGCCGTCCCTCTGCCGCTCGCAAGACGCGACAGAACAACAAGTCCACTGGCCTAGCTGCCAATGGTGCTGTGGTGGGTACTCGTGCTGCTGTCCGTGAGTTGGCCGTTGATACCGCTGTGCCTGAGTCGTCATCTGCTCGTGTGTCGCCGTCTGCCGCCCTCCCCCTCCCCCCCTCGCCCCAGCAGGTGGCCGACCAGCACACTGCCGACAGCAGCGGAGTACACAAAGAGGACGGCAAGGCAGCAGGGGGATCGGATGGCTCACGTGGGTGTGGCGGGAATGGAGGAGGCATTATCGGTGGTGTCGTGGGCGGTGAGGAGGGTATCTCTGCCGGTGCGTTCGTGGGGCAGCCTGCTGTCGTCGTGTCCCCTTCCCCTCCCCTCCCCAAGCACAACGACGTGGCCGGCCTGCCGACGGACGTCCACAAGGCCACGGCTGGTGAGCAGCAGCAGGAGGGCGGTGTGTGTGGTGGCGGTGAGGGTGCGGCTGGCGTGTCATCGTCCTATGTGCGAGGGGACAGCTATGAGCTGAGGAGTGAGGGGTTCAGCCGCCTGAGGACAGTGCGGCCGTGTCGTGCGGCCGCGGCTTACATGAGCCGCGCCAATGCCGCCATCGGCCAGTGGGCACCCAGGGCCGTCAAGGTGCAGCGGGGAGACATGGACGACACGTGAACAAGACCAACCCACAACACAGACCAATAGAGGGTGATGCGAGTGGCTGGCTGGCTGGTCCGCTGGCTGATGGACGGACGGACGGACGGACAGATGGATGGATGGATGGATGGATGTGATGGGTGGGGTGGAAGGGACGTGTGTGTGTGGTGGGATCTGCCAGCGTGTTTGCCTGTGCCTGATGCTGCCAATCGATGGTGTACAGTACTTCCTCTTCTCTGTCTACGTGTGAGTACATGTATCAATTCGTGGACGCATGAGTGGCCCCCATGTAGAGAGAAAGATATATGAGTGACAGGGGGCATTCAGGCGGACACGCAAATGTACATACATGGACACGTGGCTGTGGACGTGACGGCGTTGCACACTCGGTTACATCCATTCATGGCTGCACACAATATGAATACCATCACCGCAATGAGTCCAACCACCCTTGACCGACACACGCACACAACGAGACGAAATGTGTCCCAGCCGACACATGCATGCACACGACGAGACTGCGGTCTCCAACGCACACCGACACATTGAATGCAAAACGGCGTGACAAACACGCCCACACACAATCTGATGTACAGTCGGTGGGACACGCAGACTGACAAATACGCCACTGTGGTGCACCTATGCAGTGCCCATGGCAGACAAAGAGACAGTCATCAACTGCATCCACTCACACACACACACACACACAAAGAGAAGGGAAACCACGCCGTCAGAGTTATCACCACAATGTGTCTCTTTCACTTGCGTACCTTCCAACAGGTGACAGGTGCGTATGGCTGAAGACATACGTATCGCAGATAGTGCGATCACAGAAAATAAGAAAAATCCCTCCAGCGACGAGAGGAAAAATGGGGACATGACTGCCGAATGTGGTCTTGCCCGCTTGCCCTTTCGTCAGCCTCACAATGATCTCTCTCCGTCTCACGTCTGTCCATCAGAGGGCGGTCTTGTCGACACAAAATGTCAGAACAGGGCATAACTGGTCAACTCTGTGGGTCTTGCCATCGTCGCTTGGGGCCTCGACGAAGAGGGGAATTGTCCGCACGATGAAGCCAACAGGGCTGCCGTCAAGAGCCTGCCCAACGCGCTCGACATCCTGACTCGAGCAGTTGAGGTTGAAGTCCGGTGGCGACTGGAGGGGGGGCACATCGTCGGGATCGATGCCGGGTTGTGTCTGCACTCGAGCAACAGAACTTGATGAAAGGAGACACACAGGGAAAACGGATTCAGCCATCACAGCCTGATGGCTGTCTCGTCATTTGAGCCCATCCTACGTGAGATTGAAATCGTCGTCCGGCTTGAGGAAATCTTCATCGGCTATCAAGAAAAATGGCTCTCTGGCCAGGCATTGAATCTGCACGCCTGACAACGGACAGGGACCATTTCCTGTGAGTACTTGATGCAATACCATTTGTCGTACCTTCTTTCGGAATGTCGCAGACTTCTCTCAAGTGACCGCTTACTCTCGACTGGAAATCTATGCCGCGGCCTTCCCTCCCATACATGCGAAAGAGGCTGTCGACGAATGTGGTGCTGCCCTCGGAATCCGCATTCTCAACCGACAGAAAGGGAATTTCAAAGGTTTTCACCGGCTCCTTCACTAACTCCCCATTTTCGATGACGCGTCGCGTTCCGAACTTCCTATATGTGAGTCTCGCTGGGGGCAGCAAGCAGCTCTCAGCAGAGGTCTTGTCGGGAGCAGAAATAATGCTGTACTGCATGGTGCCGAGAGGGGCACTTGACGTGAACATCTGCACAAAGCAGTCAGCAGACATGCCTTCATTGAGGCAGTGATGAGTGTGTAGCCGTATTACCAGTTCAGGCGTGATTGACTTCGTGTCGTTGGTGTCGTTGGTTCCACCTCGGTTGAAAAAGTCTCGGATGGTGGGGACATACGACGTTTCACCCGGATAAGTAAGCTCTTCTCCCTGAGGCTCAAAACTCAAGCCGCCGACAAGAGTGCCTATATGATTGAGACACAAGCCGAACACACAAAAACGAACACGTATTCCTCAGAGTGCGTCAAACAAAGCGTACCTTCGACGAACATCACGATCCCTTCGCACTCTTCGGGCGACACCTGGCGCACTGTCCCCTTGAAGTCCACATTAGCGAAGCCAACCTGTGGCTTGTTATCATCCCCTGGGGCTCTCGGTGCGATCCGTCCATCCAGAGCCTCGACATCATATCTGATCCGCACTTGCAAATCGGCGTCCTCTCCCTCGCAGCTGAAGGCCTCTACGAAGGCCTCTGTCCTATTGCCTCTTTCCCCCCGAGCCCGGTATATCCAGAGACAAGAGGGGAGGACGGTAGCGGTACTGTTCGGGTCCACTCCTGGTTTGAAGTCGGTCATGCGGTAGCTTGATGGCTGGGCTGTACTGGAGGCATTCAGGACAATCTCAGGACATGCCTCAACTGACACAAGCAAAAGATACGACAAAGCAGCAACATGATGAAAGATCGAAAGCGACAGCGAGTCAGTTGTGAGCCATTCTGATTGCTTACAGCATTCAAAGCCAATCACACAGCTATTGGCCTCCAAGACATCCACGTCTCCCATGGCGAAATCGCTGAACCTCTCGGTGCAGTTCTTGATCGTTAGATCCTCAGCAGTCGAGAAGATCTCGAAAGAAGCGTTGATCCTCTGCTCAGAGCCTCTCTCTATCCCGTCACAAGTGGGCCTTCCAGACAGGCGGGCAACGACGCATGTGTCAGCTCCAAGAACTCCTGCGTTGGGTGCAAGCGCGACACCCACAGTCTCGCCGATAAAGCTGGCTCGAGCGAATGGGGCAGCGACGCCAGGGTCAGGGTCAAAGCCGACAGGAAGGTTTTGCAGCCTTCGTCCTCGGCAGTTGGCCAAGACTGCGAACACATGCGCCAACGGCAGGAAAATCAACCATCTGTGCGCCTCAGCCAACAGGCCAGAAACAAACATGCTTGTCACGCGCCTGACTGGTGCCCGTACCTTCTCTTCCATCGATCAGGTTTCCCAGCTGGCCCTTTACGCAGCGGCAGCACACAGACGAATACGTGTGTGGCTGTTCCTTCAGAATTGAATGAAGTACCTTCAGAATCAGATCGAGTGACACGCCTGTCTCCGCGCTGAAGAGGTCGAACGATCGAGTCCCCTTTGTATCGGCCACATTCGTACATAGCACAGACTTATTTCCCACAGGGAACTTGACGTCTAAGTCCAACTCGTCAAGACACGACACGTCGTCTTCCGTGATGACAAAGAATCTGTCTCCGATTGCGGCGCTGCTGAAAGATAGGTCTGGTGACTGCTCCGGCTTGTAAAGGGGGGAGAAGATAGTCGGCAGGACCTCTCCTAGAAGGGCACGGCTGAAATCCTCGCTAAGAATAAAAAATGTTCCAGTTTGTTCTGGACGGGCGTCAGTCACGCTGTCGTCACTCATATTGGCCGCACTCACACATATCTCACTGCACTCCCGGAATGCATCTCGATTGTCGATAGCGAACTGACTGACCTCCAACGGATTCTGACGATATGAAGGGAAGGGAGACATACGTGTATTTGAGCTTCCCTTATCTACCAGTGCACGTACCTTTCGGATAATTTCGCCAGACGTTGTGTCCCTTCCATATCCTGAGGTAGCCAGGGCAAGGATACCGCCTGCCTCGGTCTGGCCCGACGTCACTGTGAACACTTGCTGGTTGAGCAGGACATCACATTCGTCAGGCACATCATCGGGGAACGTCAGGAGGCCGAGACTCGTGTTGGCCGAGGGCGAGAGAATGCCGATCGCGCGTGCAGTGACGAGGTCGTCCTGCGTCTCGTTGCCGATGATGAGAATCCGCTGAGTCTGGTTGTACTCGAATTGCTGAGCAATGAGAGACTCCGACTCGTCCACGAAGCCCGTCAAGGTGACCTCGATCTGCGCCTCAATCCCTTCGCACGCCGGATTGCTGGCCTTCTCGACTTGCAGCACGCCGTGAATGGTAGCAACTGCAGGCTGCAGCGCGTTGCCGGCTCGACTGGAGCAGAGGCCGGTCTCGGGGCAGGTGAACTGGAGAGTGACGCTGACGCCCTCTGTCGTGTTGCAAGAAAGGTCCACAAAGAAGTCATCGAGCCCACTATCATCGTCAGGCTTGCCCTGAATCCTCATGCAGCTCGACACATTGCTGCCAGTGTCGTTGATGGTGTCGAGGTAGGCGTCAGAGGGAACGTCTTCGAACAGATAAGTGCCGGGCACCAACTGGGCGAAGGTCGACTCTTGTGGCACTGGGGGCGGGGCGTTTGGCTTGAAGCTCTGCTCTCGTGGGTCGGGCCCAATGTCTTCCATTCTCTCGACGACGGGCAGGCTGCCCGCACAGTCGAAGGGCACAGCGAAGCGGTTGACGGCATTGAAGCACGGATCCAGCTCGGCCGGGAAACACAGAGACGATGGCTGGCCGCTGACGACGCCCCTCGTCAAGCTGACATCGCCGCGCGAGAAGTTGGCCACGTCGCCGAACAGACCAATGCTCTCCTCGATGCAGTAGCAGAAGCGGGAGTCGCTCGTGCGAGCACAGATGGGCTTGTCCGACGGGCAACTGACACACAGGAGCACGAATGGTGCCATCCCATGAGATCAGCAGTGCGTACCTTCCCAGTGCCGCAGTGCCCAGATCGGTGATGTCTGTGCCATGGACGCCGCTTGGCTCTCCGCAGAGGATTGATTGCTTCTCTCCCGATGCGCTCACGTCGCCGGCGGTCTCCTCGTCGGTGGTCAGGGCATCTGTCTGCTGCCTCTTGAGCTCTTCCTGGGCGTTATCTTCATAGAGGCACTGGCCGAAGTTGCCGAGGTCGGGGTCGTCGACGATGGGTAGCAGCGCATTGGCGGCACAGCTCGAGAAGATCTCACCGTCAGGGAATACGACTGAATAGAAGCGAGGCCATTCAGTGTATTGCGCTGTCTGTATGCGCCCCGCTGTTCTGCTTACCCGCCTGGCAGTCTGCGTTTGTTTCTGTCGGCTGTTCATCGTCGTCTGTTCTGTTGTTGCCGGTCAGGCAGGCCGTCGTGAACTGAGCCACAGCGCCTCTCCTCTCCCACTGACTCAGCAGAATGGACAGTAACGCAGCCACAAGCCAGGGGGCTCTCCGCATAAAAAAATCGCCTTTTGATCACAAGAATTTACTCACAGCCGTTGCCACAGTGTACAGTGCAAAGAGGAAAAAAAGGCCTGAAATGAGGCTCCTGCTTCTTCTCTTCGCTTCCTCCGTCCTTCGGGCTGTTGGAGAGATGAGTGATCTGCCGCAGACGCGTCGGGGCGCGCCGGACCGTCGTTCACTCGTGGATTCGTCTGTACAGGAGAGCCCAGCAGAGCGTGCTGATAACCAAGACGCGCCTCTCGGCCAAGACGGTGGGGAGAAACACTGATTCCAAAACAACACAACACAACACGGAAGCCGACACTTGTTGCCTGTTGTTCAGATGACTTCCCTCCTCGTCACCTGCAATTTCAAGGCGTCTGCTGCAGCAGTTGTTATCCTATATACGGCAGAAGTGCTTGTGACAGCGGTGGCTGTGCTAATTGCTGAGGACAAGAGAGCGAGGCACGCCTTTAGGTCAGTTTCAGTGACGCGTTGCGGAAAGATTCGCGTGTCGCATGATTAATGTGTGACCAATGTGTACAGCAGTCTCTATGGCTTATTGCACCGCATTTTTCCTGGTGCGTTGTCATTGGGAAACTGTTTTTGTGACTGACTGGGTGGGACACACAGGCGGGAAGGAACCTTGCGAAATGCTGAGCCGATTCGGTGTTACGCTGTGGCCCTCATCCAGCAGTATAGTTCCTCACTAGCACTGCTGCTGGTTTTGTGGCCGTTCTTCGTGAGCCGTCACTTTTTCAGTGAATGACTTTCTCTAGTGTCCATGAAGCGAGTCAATAACATGAGGGGGGGTGGAGGGCCATCTCACGTCCCTTGTGTCACACTTTCAGTTTCTTGGAGATTCCATGCAGTGTCCTTACATCCTCTGATCCATATATCCCGTGATGAACCCAACTAAGCCCACTTTGTCGCTCCCCTGTTCATACGCATAACCACCACATCGATTCGAAAAGGCATCGCTTCAGCCTCCTCGACAACCATCAGCTCCTCCCCGACCGTCGCTCTTCGCAGCGATAGGGACACGTCTTCGTGCATCTTGCTCGAAGGCCCCTGGCTGTCGTCAAGCGGCTCGCTTCCGTCAGCATGGCGCGCGAGAGAGGGCCCGATTTCATCCAGCAACCACACCCAGGTCCCAATCGACGAGAGGGAAAGGTCGGCCAGTGAGCGGCAAGGCGATGGCTCGAGAGTCAGGTGCAGCAACGACGTTATCAGCTGGAAGAGCCCCTCAGTAGTCAGACCGCACTTCTGCAAGCCGGAGCGGCTGTCACTGTCACAGCCTCTTGCACCCAGCCTCTCCGCGACTCCCTTCACCATCCCGCCCAGAAGTGCATCAAACCAGCGACCCTCATTGCGCATGAAGTAGACGGCCGCAAAGCAGCAGTTGAGCAGATGGATGTGCTCGAAGGGGCCCAGCGGTGTGTGCGGGGCGAGGGCGCGGCGGAGGCACTCAGATGAGAGGAGATCGATGGTCTCATCTGGTGGGGCTGGTACGTCGAGGCGGCAGAAGGACAGGAAAGAATTCGCCAGACCTGCACACATTCATGCAGCAGCAAAGACATAGAGAGAGGGTTCTGACGTGAGATGGAAACGCTGTGCTATGCAGCCACACATATACACGCATATGTGTTGGCCTGTCTTCCTGTCTGTCTGTCTGGCTAGTCTCGGACGGGGAACGACCCCTCTGGCGCGTCGAGTGCGTTCAGAGGCAGAGATCCGCCCTGTCATTCTCTCCGCTCACTGACGTCATTGTGGCCACAAGTCGCCCCAGTGACGATCAAGCATGTCAATCAACGGAGGATACGTACAGATATACGCACGCACACTGGCGCATCTGACCTTGTGGCGTGAATCCCTCGAGCATCTGGGGCACCATATCGACCAAGCGGGCCAACAAGGCCTCGTCTCGATATAGCAACCTGAACGCACGCAGACACAAAGACTTACACGCGCGCTGTGTACGATTGGCTCTGTCGGTGTCTGCACACGCACCTTGACAGAGCATAGAGCATCATGCAGTAGTGCTGTTCGGGAAGGGTAGCGAGATCGCCGTTCTCGCGACGCAGCCGGCCACACGCACACTCGAGCAGCTGACCACATCACCACAGGACAACAGACCGGCACTTGTGCGGCTGCGTGCTCATTCAGATGTGTGTGGGTGCTTTGTACCTCCTGATTGAGCCATTCGAACTTCGCGAATGCATGGAGGACCATTGACAGACTCTGCTGGCTGTAGGCATCCACCGACTGACACCCAACACAAAAGGCACACAAAGGTGACAGCACACACGTGCACTCGCCCTCCGTTTGCCCCACCTGTACAACCCTCCTAGCCGCGCACTCGGCAACATCACCGAAAACACCCGCGGGCACCTGAAGCTTCGCGTACGCATTCAAGACGATCGCCACATGCTGCGGAATAAACGCCGCGCCCCCCTCCATCAGCCGCCTCACGTGCGCCCCCACAATCACCACCACATCTCTCGCCATCGGCACTTCCAGCTTCGCATAGGCGTTGAGCACGAGCGAGCACCCCTGAGGCGACAGTTCGCCGACAAACGTGCCTCCATTCTGCCGCATGGCGTGCTCCATGGCCGCGAAGAGCTTCATGGACCTTACAGAGAGCTTCGCATACGCGTTGGCGACGATGGATAAGTCCTGTTCGGTGAACAAGGAGGGCCGCTGCGATGAACCGTCACACCAGAAGGCCTCCAGCAGCGGCCGCTCGAGAGCGTTGACGATGTCCATATCCCTCACGCCATACTTGCCCATCAGATTGAGGGCTATGGCAATCGAGCCGCAGTTGTCCCACCTGTCCTGCTCGGCCGCCTCGTCACACACGAACCGATCTGCCTCTTGTCTGAACGTCGTGGCGTGTGCCAGGGCCAGCAGTTGGGGCTTGAGTGTGGCGAAGAGGGTGCGGATCTCCTGTGCCGACATGCCTTTGGCGTTCTGGGTGAGCCGCTTGATGAACTCTCGGCCGCCGCTGGCTGCTGAAGCGGAGGTGGGTGCGGGGGGAGATGCGGCGTCGTCTCCATTTGTGCTGAAGCGCCTGAGGCTCCTATGCGGACGCAGGAGGATGAGGGGACGTCTTGCGAGCCACATTCACTCATCGATGAGCAAGATCTGTAACAAGGGCTCCGCTCTCGTGGTTATGCGGCTGCGTTCGTTCGTTCTTCGTTCCAGAAAGATCTGCTGCGAGCTAGGCTCGCAGATTTCTGCTTGCCGTTTTGAATGAGGCGCTTCTGAATAGAGGCCTCGACCCATCCCTATGCTTGATTTTATCTACTTTTGGATTCAAAAAGGAATCTGCGCAGGTGCACACCACACGGGACGGACACACAGGCAGGAAGCAGAGCAGGGGTGCAGTGCGTTCATATGACTCTGTTCTGTGCAGTTCAGCCGAAGTGTTGGCAGAGAGAGCCCGTGCTGGGATACAACTCAGTCGCAATGGGTGGGTGAGAAAAGGACTGAGCCGCTGTGGTGCGTGGCCGCCTGCCTTTCTTGTCATACTCTCTTAACGTCGTTCAGACATCCACCTGGTGCCCGTGCTGGGCGGTAAGCACTGCACTGCAAAAGCAATCAGAGCAAAGGTTCTTGAGCAGTGGTATGTGTGCGCTGCTCGTGCAGACAACTACGCATACCTGGTGGTGCACAAGGCCACACAGAAGGCCTTCTGTGTGGATCCTGCCGAGCCCGAAAAGGTCGATTCATGAGCAGATGTCTTGCAAATCATGCAATCAACTAATCCGATCAATTCCTCGCAAATCAAGCAATCACTCTGACTATTTATCCGCCGCACTCGCCGCTCGATGATGGCGAGCGTGTGCTTGATGCATGTTATGCGTGCAGGTGCTCGATGCGGCAGAGCGGCTTGGTGTGACGCTGGAGATGAGCCTCACCACGCACAAGCATTGGGACCACGCAGGAGGCAACAACAAGCTGGCCAAGTACGTGAGCGGGAATGAAGGAGGGGCGACAAACGCCTTACTGCCATCGATGTGGGCGCATGCAGGTTGGTCCCTGGCATTCCTATAGTGGGTGGTGAGAAGGAGCACGTGCCGGCGTGCAGCAAATTCGTCAAGGATGGCGAGGAGTTTTACTTCGAGACCATCAAGGTACTTTCTCTGCATCCATCCATCCATCCACTCATCCATCCATGTGTATCTGACTGACTGTGTGTGCAGATCAGGACACTGCTCACGCCATGCCACACGTCTGGTCATGTGCTATACTACGTGACGGATCCTTCGTGTGCGGACCCTGCACTGTTCTCGGGAGGTGGGCCCCACAAACCTCTGTGCTTTCCCTCATCCATTTATTGTTGGCTGGCTGGCTTGGACCGATTCAGACACGCTTTTTGTGGCCGGATGTGGTCGGTTCTTCGAGGGCACGGGCAAGGACATGTACCGTGCCCTCGTGCAGGTGTGCGGCAGCCTGCCGCCCAACACCAGAGGTGCGCATAGCATATCCGCCCACAAACATGAGCACGTGTAGCGCGCACACGTGTGTATGCGTTTATTGCGCGGCTGCGTGCAGTGTTCTGCGGTCACGAGTACACTGTCAAGAGCCTCCAATTCGCCCTTTCCGTGGAGCCCAACAACGCCGCGCTCAAGCAGAAGATGACCTGGGCGCAACAGCGCAGACACGTGAGTGATGCTGCACACCGAGGCACTGATTGCAAACATGACATCCATGCGCATCGGTCGAATGGCATGGCGCAGGAGAACCTGCCGACAGTGCCATCGACGATTGCAGAAGAGCTGAGCTACAACCCGTTCATGCGCGTGACACAGCCGTCTGTTGCGCTTGCCACTGGTGTGTCACAGTCTGACCCGGTGGCTGTGATGACCAAGCTGAGACAAATGAAGGACGTCTTCTGATTGATTCATTTATTGGGTGGATTCATTGGTGACTGTGAGGTGGCGGCCCCGAGAAATCTGTGTGCGACACTGGGGAGGGGGGGATGGGATGTATTTCTTTTTTAGAAGAAGATTGTGGGTGGGCGGCTGCCGGTGTGCAGACACCATCCATCAGACCATGAACCAGCCAACCGAGCAAGCAGTCAGGCAACACACAGACACTCACATGCAGCACATCATGCGCACACACGAAGCGTCCACACGAGTGTGCACAAATGACTGATTCACAGCCCCCCTCGTACATCCAGACCCCGTCACACTGTACACGCACGGCCCTCCTCTACACCCCAACCCACCTCACACCCCACCCACCGACCAACCAGCTCACCGCCCCTTATTCATCTTAGCCGCCTGGCCTTGGCCGCCTGCCCGTTCCTCTTGGGGCACGGCGTCATCATGCCTTTCGTCAGGTCAATCACCGATGGATCTCTGTCGCCCCCGTCCTTCTCGGGCGAGGGCGACAGATGCACGGGGACCGGTGAGGGGCCGGGCTGCTGGGCCATGGCAGCGACGTTGACAGAGGCCGGCTGGGCATTGGCGTTGGCGGTGGGCAGGTACCAGGATGCATCCGACGGGCGGAACATCACCTGCAAAAGCAAGACACATGCATGGATGGGGAGACATGATAGGCTGTGGGAGGGTGGTGGACGTGCGTGCGTGCCTGGTGTGCGGTGGTTTCGTCCTCGGGCAGGGCAGCTAGGATGTCCGTGACGTAGCCATCGATGTAGACCTCCCAGATCGGCATGGGACACGAGCAGATGGGGCACGTGTTGCGCCTGGCAAAGACAACACACACAGACCACATACACGCATCTCTCTCTCTTTCCCCCATTCATTCTGCTTTGCCGTGAGTGGGTCACTCACTTCTTGGGTTTGAGTCCTGTAGAGAGCACCATGGCATGCAGGTAGCTAACGAAGTCGAAGCAATCCAGATGCCTGACATGCAAACACAGGCACACACTGACTGACACACACGAACGGACACCGAATTTCCTGCCCTCACCCACCTGCACCTGAATCCCCTGGCGGGCATCTCCATCCTCATCTGCGATATGGGGCACTGAGGGAGAGCAGAGAACAAGTGGGGGAGTGACGTGGGTGGCATTCCAGACATGCACAGCACACACTCATGCATACGCACCTTGAGGGACAGCGCCCCGTCGGTGCTGTCACACACACAATCGTCGTCATCATTGGCACTATGGGCACCCAACAAACCCACCATCTGCACTCACAAGCACACAGAGACAGAGACATCCACCTGTGTGTGTGTCGCCATCCATGTGGGGGGCGTGTGTGTGTGTGTGTGTATTGAGACCTTCTGCCGACAGATGTGTGCAGGGATGGTGTGGTGGTCCTGGATGGGCTTCAGCAAATCGGCTAGCGCTGTGCGCTTGGTGACCATGACCACTAGAGCAGACATCGGCCACTTGCGCAGCTTCTGCACCGTGTCGGGACAGTGGCGCGAGAACTGCCAACAGCACATGCACACACACACACACTCGTACGTCTACACACAGACCCATGAAGTGGCGGTCTTTACTGTGGCAGTGAGGTCGAATTTGGCTCCTGCAGGGATGGGCGCGTTGATGGGGGCCGACGGGGGCTTCACCTGCTGGAACGGATTCTTTCCATACGACAACACCACCTTCTGAACAAACAGCAAACGCCGCGACGGAGGAACAATCGATCAGCGCATGTGCGTCTGTGCGTCTCTGCCTGCCCACACCCTGTCTGTCTGTGTGCATCGATCTGATCTGCCCGACTGACATCTTTGCTGTCGGTGATCTCCACTTTTGCGCCCGACTGGCTAGGGAAGTGGACGGCCTCGTATTTGGCGTCAAACATCTGCGCGTCCGTGTCGGGCCGCACTGTCGCCACCTGCAGGTACCGCACCGTCACACACAGGTCCCCATCGGCGGGAGAGGCCGCTGCAGGCAAGCACCACGGACACACACACACACACAAACACACATGGAAAGAGAGAGAGTGTGGTCGTTAACTTGTTGTGTATCTGTGCGCACCCGAGGCAGGTCGCTCTATGTCTGTGATTTCCCTGGAGAATGCAGCGTCCTGGCGGGGGTTGGTGACGACGTACTTACACTGCGCCACGGGCAGATGCGACAAATCCTGAGACGATACAGACACGTACACAGAACAGAGGTCAACAAGACGTTTCTGTCGACGTCTGGATTTAAGTGCCTGGGTGCAATGCTCACAGCAAAGAGTGCACGACAGGGGATGCACGTGAAGCCCTGCGCCGCCCTCACGACCTCATCTGCAGTCCGCTGCACGCATCCGGAACAAACAGGGCACTGCACTCATTGCACTGTAGTGTGGGAGTGGGTGGGTGGGGTTGCGAGGGTGACGGCACTACTTACCTGTGTCCTGGGCATCCAGTAGAGATGGCAGGGCGGGTGGCACTGGCGACGACACAGACGGCAAACCAACTGCAGTGCACACACCAATCCATCACACACACACACACACACACATATACATACCGACTGACACATACGGAAAGAATACATGGCAAGGGAGAGCCACAATACTCACCGCTATTCTACGGAAGGATTTCGTGTCGTTCTGCACTGCAAACACGCCTTTCTGATGGACAAAACGACACACACAAGACAATAAGAGCCTTCCGCCCTCTCTCCTTATGCCGCTGACCGGTATCTCGCGACACGCGCAGACATCATCTGACGAGCTGCGGTCGGCAGATGCAGCCCTGGCCCGGCCACAGAAGTGCCCCAACACGCTGTTGCTCGTGAGAAATCCGTCGGTGTCGACTGACGGTTCGCCGAACAGCGGCGCATCGTCCTGAGAAGAGGTCGGCAGTGCATCATCCGCCGCCATCCCTGGCCCCGTTTTGGCCTTGCGCTTTTTGAGCCGCAGGCGCTCCATGAGGGTCAGGGCAATGGGAGCAGACATCATCTATGGTAAGAGATGCATTCCAGGGTGAGTGTTTACAGAAAGATAAGGGGCGGAGGGGAGGAAAGGAGGCAGTCTGATTTGGATGAGGGGAATTGGCAACCTCCTTGCTGGCGACCGATCCTCACCACCAAGGTCTGCATCCTGGCTCTCACTGCCGTTGTGCTGCCCTGCCTCGTCTGACGCTTCGCTTCCCTCTGTGCTGCGCAGGTCACACTTCGGGCACAGTCCTTCCTTTGGCCGTGGGCTGAGAGATTCGGGTACAAAGAAGGAACGCAACACATCAACGCGAAACGACTTGAACGGCGTGTGTGCCCTGTGTGCTTTCTCTTTCTCTGTGCGCCCTGTACACCCCCACAATGCCCAAAATGCACAGATCGGTACGCTCAACGGTGGCGACTAGACGTGTAGAAGCCCACACCTTTCCTTTGTTCGTTTGCGCCCTTTTCTGTCTGTCTTTCCATCCAGGTACAGCCCTGCCCCTCATTCTTTCCGACACGTCCTTCGCCCATCGCCATCGAGCAGCGGCGGTTTGCAGCAAGGTCCCTTTCGGCCGGTCGGTTCTTCTAACCCGTTTGGCCCTGCAGGCACGTGTACGGGCCACGAGCCCATATACGCCTGGCGCGAAGGTAGGTACAGGGCAGCAGAACACTATACGATACGACACACTACATCCCAGCCGTCACCTGTGGTGATGGTATGGCATGTGTCCGTGCACTGCAGCGAGTCGCACGGGCCACGAGCGAGACCGTGAGCGCTCATCCTTCAACCGTAGCGACAGACGAGTGAGCATCACGCAGACACACGCTCATCCCCTTTTGTCCGAATGTCTGTCTGTATGTCATCAGGTTGAGCAGAGTGTCGGCCCCAGCCGGCGGCCCCCCCGCAGGAATCGAAACCGCGGCAACGATAGACGGCGGCGCCACGAGAGCCCTCCTGCACGCACACTAGCGTGGCGCCCATCGCCAGGCCGCTCCAATCGTGTCGCACAGCCGTTCGCGCCCTCACTGGAACCACCCCCGCCGTTCCCCATAGCTGTCCCCACCTCTCCGCAGCCCCACGAGCAGGGAGCGACGCATGCTGACACCAGCCACGACACCGTAGTGCCACCAGATCTCCCCAGCAGCAGCATGTCGGCCTCGGCCAACGACCGTGAGACGCCTCGTTTGGGCGCGGGACGGCTGGAGAGTCTGTTTCGGCTCAACAAGGGCGCCAAGAAGTCCCCTGAGAACAAGAAGGCTGGGGCCAACAGTGGGACACCACCTGCTGCACAGTCCCTTTCGCTGCGTGAGGCGCTGCTCAACGGCAGCAGCAGCAGCAGCTCGCGCGAGCAGGGAGAGCCGTCGTCGTCTAGCGCAGCGTGTCCCGCGTCTGTGGCGGCACAGAACGAGACGAATGGGGAATACGGAGGGAAAGAGGGAGAGGCCGAGGGGGGCTGGGAGGAGCAGGGGCGGGAGGGCGAGAACGGGTCTGACAGTAGCGGCGATGTGGCGGTGGGGCGCGGTAGCAGTCTGCTGTTGGATAGCCTGTCTGGCGATAGCTCGATGGAAGAGGCCGCTGTCAGGTAACAAACACGACCAAACGCGATGGGCTGGGTGGTGTGCGATGCCTTGTGTGATGTTTGTGTGTGTGTGTCAGTGAGCCCATTCCTTGCCCCCTACCTCTGCGCACGGAGGACAGTCGCAACCTGATGGAGCATCTCGAGCTGAGGGACGAGAACCTGCAGCTGAGCCAGAAGCTGCGCGAAAAGCAGAGGGAGATACAAGCGCTCAAGGACCAAATCGACAGGTACCTCCCTCCCGGACGCCACACACAGGCACCAGCTCGTGACTTATCGCCGTCTGTTGTGCTGTGCGCTGCGTGTATGCAGTTGTGACGATTTGTCTGGCTACTACGCGACGAGCCAGTCTCAGCTGAAGCAGCAGATCCGCGAGAACGAGCGGCTAAGGCAATACGCGACCGACATCAACGACAAATACAACAGGTGCGCCCGCCTGCGTGTGTATGGGTACACATGTGTCTATCCATGTGCTATGTTTGGTTCAGGTGTTTGGAGGAGAAGCATGGCGCCGAGAAGCGCCTGGCAGACACCGAGGAGCAGATCAAAGAACTCAAGGCAAACCACCCCGACACGTGAGCCACCCACCACCCAACGCCACACAGACCGACAAGACGAGACAACACCACACCCCTCCCTCCGCTCTCTGCAGGCTCGCATCTGAGCTCGACGCCCTGTCGCCGAAGGCACCCGTAGAGGCCATCCAAGCCATCTTCCACCGCATCGACGACGGCGCGCAGAAGACCGCCCGTGTGTATGAGACCCTTCGCGTGAGGGCGACCGACATGCTGGTAGGGCGGGTGAGGGAGCTGGAGAGCGACGTAGAGAGGGAGAGGGGGGTGAATGAGAAGCTGGTGGAGGAGATGAGGGAGGCCAGGGGAGAGAGCAGCCGCCTCGCCGAGGACAAGGGTCGACTGCAGTCAGAGGTGCGTACACGCACGCGCACACAGTGAGTGGTCAGCTGAAGGCGGCGTGTGTGCACTGCTACACGGGTCTGTCGGTGGCGTCTGTGCCAGGTAGCGCGGCGTGAGGCGATCATAGATGGTCTGCAGAGTTGTGTGGGCTGCCGGGAGCGCCAGCCAACCCAACTCATTCGACCCTGCAAACACTTAGGTGGGTCATCCCTGCGTGTCGAGCTCTTGTCTGTTTCTGTGTCCCTAATTGTATGTTCTGTGTGTGTGTGTGGATGTCAGCCTTTTGCGACACGTGCTTCGGACAGTGGAACACTCCACTAGTGGATTGCCCCATGTGTGAGGATACAAAACAGCACGCCGATGGCTAGCGCTTGGTGGCATTTCATAGTGTCGGTTGGCTGTTGTGTGTGCGATTTGATTGGCACACAGGTAAGCAGCATATCGACTCCATCGAGCGCGTCTTCGTCGGCTGACCGACGCCATTCGTTGATTGACTGATTCATTAGAGAGGAGGGGTCACGCAGTGCCCGGCGGCTCTCACCTGTGTGCGCACACTCGTGACATCGACCTACGCATCTGCATCCACTGATCTGTCTATATAAGTAGGTGTGTAGCAGTGATTAGTGCATTCTTGGCGTGGAACCTTTCGTAAAAGGACGGGAGCCAAATTTACAAGCGTTGTTTGCCGTTGAGACTGCCCCTGCCTTTCCTCATGCCCCGGCATGTTCTCCTGCTGTAATCAACTCCTTTGTTCAATCGTCCTTTCGAAGTTCTATGCGGTCGGCCCTCCGTCTTGTAACGGCGTTGCTGTCCACTCTGCTGAGTCAATGGGAGAGGAGGGGTGCTGTGGCTCAGTTCACGACGGCCTGTCTGAGCAACAACAACAGAACAGACGACGACGGGCGGCCGACCGAAACAAACGCAGACTGCCAGCCGGGTAAGGACAACAGAGGAAGATACAACACACTGATAATCTCTTCATCTTTCAGCCGTGTTCCCTGACGGTGAGATCTTCTCGAGTTGCGAGGCCAATGCGCTGCTGCCCATCGTCGACGACCCCGACCTGGGCAATTTCGGTCAGTGCTTCTATGAGGATAACGCCCAGGAAGATTTCAAGGAACAACAAAGCTTTGCGCTGAACGATGAGGACTCGGATACCGCCGGCGACGTGACTGCGACCAGCGGCAACCAGAGCATTATCTGTGGCGAGCCGAGCGGCGTCAATCGCACAAATATTACTGATCTGGGCACCGCGGCACTGGGAAGGTACGCACTGCTCGTCTCATGCGATGACACCATTTGTGCGCCTGTGTGCCTGTCTGTCAGTTGCCCGTCGGACAAGCCCATCTGTGCCCGCACCTTTGACTCGCGCTTCTGCTACTGCATCGAGGAGGAAGTGGGTCTGTTCGGCGAAGTGGCCAACTTCTCGCAACGCGACGTCAGCCTCGTCACGGGCGTGGCAGCGAGTCAGCCAGCGTCTTTGTGTTTCCCGGCCGAGCTGGATCCGTGCTTCAACATTATCAACCCCTTCGCCGTGCCCTTCGACTGTGCGGGCAGCCTCCCCGTCGTCGAGAGAAGGGAAGACATTGGGCCCGATGCAAGACAACAGAGACTGCGGGCGAACGACCCGCCTCCCGTGCCAGAAAATGCGACGTTCGCCCAGCTGGTGCCCGGCACTTATCTGTTCGAAGACGTGCCATCGGGTGCCTTTCTGCCGAACGTCGAGCACGTGGGCAGCAGTGTGTCGAGCTGCATGAGGATTCAGGGCAAAAGTGACGATGATAGTGCGCTCGATGACTTCTTTCTGGACCTGTCATGCGACACGACAGAGGGCGTCAGCGTCACCCTCCAGTTCACCTGCCCCGACACCGGCCTCTGCTCCGAACGCGAGGGCAACGCCCTCCAGCCTGCAGTTGCTACCATTCAGGGCGTTCTGCAAGTCGAGAAGGCCAGCAACCCGGCGTGCGAAGGGATTGAGGCGCAGATCGAGGTCACCTTGACGGGCTTCGTGGACGAATCGGAGTCTCTCATTGCCCAACAAGTCGAGTACAACCAGACACAGCGGATTCTGATCTTCGGCAACGAGACGCAGGACGACCTCGTCACTGCACGAGCGGTCGGCATTCTCTCGCCCGCGGCCAACACGAGTCTCGGCCTCCTGACGTTCCCCGATGATGTGCCTGATGATTGTGATGTCCTGCTCAACCAGCGAGTGTTCACAGTGACGTCGGGCCAGATCGAGGCGGGCGGTATTATCGGGCTGGCTGCCTCAGGGTTCGGGCGAGACGTGGAGAGCGACCTGACCTTTCCAAAGGTGACGGCTTGGGCAAGTGACTTACATTCATAAAGGCAAGTGTTGTGTTCTCTCAGAGGCCGTTGGAACTCAGTGAATATGCTGTCGAGAAGCGAGAGGCGTTCTTGAACTGCAGCGAATTGTGCGTCGAGGCGGAGGACAGCGAGGACAGCGAGGACAGCGAGTTCGTCTTTCTCGGCCCCGACCGGCGCCGTGCCCTTCTAGGAGAAGTGCTACCGACTATCTTCTTTCCCATCTACGAGCCCCGACAGTCGCCAGACCTGTCATTCAGCAGCTTCTTTCTTGGGGACTCTTTCTTTACAAACACGACCCTTGATACCACAGTGTGCTCCGGCGACGATCGATTCATATTGAGTGGCAGAGAAGTATCTGTTTTGTGCACTGAGGCCCTTCCTGAGAGGCCTCGATCCTTTGAGCTGTTCAACGTGGAGACAGGAGCGCAGCTTGACTTCATCATCAAAGGCAGCTTGGGCAATCTCATCGATGGGAGACAGGGTGCGCAGGCACGGGAATGTCAGTTACGCAAGATACGGGCCTCATTGCCTGTCCTGTTGGCGATGCGTGTGTCGAAGTATTGACGAATTGCCGTGGGGTGAGGCTGCAAGACCTTCCTGTTGGCGTGGACCCTGGCCCCTCCTCGCCCTTCAGAACTCAGATTTTGGACTTGCGACGGAACTTCGACCTTATTGGCGAGACTGTGGGCGTCGCCCTCGTACCCGACGCTGGAGAGTTTGGGAACAATACGTGTGTCAGGGCCAATCTGGAAGGGAGACATACGTGTAACAGCAGCGAGCCAGGTCAACGGAGTCTGAATGTTTCCATTCGGGTGCTGCAAGGAGATGAATATGACCCAGAACTCGCCAATGAGTCGTGTGTTTCAAGGATCAATGCTTCTGGGCAAGCGCAGCCCATTTTGGAGGATGAAGAATTCGTGAAATTGTGCAAGATCGGGTTTGAATGCTGTAAGCAATCAGAATGAGTCACAGCTCACTCCCTGTCGCTTCCGACCTTTCATCATGTTGTTGCCTTGTCGTATCTTGTGCTCGTGTCAGTTGAGGCCTGTCCTGAAGTCAACTTGACCGCCCCATCTACCGCCCAGCCATCCAGCTATTTTCTGAGTGACCCTCCCGCGGAAGATGTCAATGGCACAGATATCAGCTACTGCCTCGAGATAGAAAACACTCCAGGTGCAGAGGACTTCCGAGCCCTTTTCAGCTGCGACCCGGACGAGGAGGGGGTTGGTCTGCAAGTGCGGATCAAATATGACGTTGCGGAGCTGGATGGACGCGTAGCGCCGATACTCGACGAAACGACAGGGGAGCTGGAGACAGTGGACTTTGCGAATGTGGACTTCAAGGGCGCAGTGAGGCAGGTGTTTCCCGAGGAATGCGAAGACACTTTGATGTTTGTTGAAGGTATGCGCATACACATATACACGGCAGACAGAGAGACAGACAGAGACAGAGGGACACACAGACACAGACAGACAGACAGACAGGTAGACGTTCAGCTACACGAAGAGCTGGCAGACATGGTCGTTGCTATCGTGTTCATTTCTTCTCCAGGTACTCTTGTTGGCGGCCTTCTTTTTCAACTGAGCCCTGACGAAGAGCCCTTTGATGGCAAGTACCTCCCCACCGTCACACGCTTTCCAGCGGCTCCTGAGATACTCTTCACGAGTAGCGCACCGTTGGGCACCATGGAGTATGTAATTGTTCAAGGCCTGGATCCCAGCCTCGTCGAGGACATTCCGGAGGAGTGCTTCAATCTGACGCAAAAGCTGATTCATAGGAAGAGGGCCAGGACAACTGTGCAAGAGGACGGCGACGTCAGGACAGCATTCGCCTTTAATGTGCCTCAAGTGGAGGTCCATGAGCTCACAGATGAGGGCGAGCCAACGGGTGTGTTGGAGGTCGTCACTCGCTCTCCAAGAATCCGTGTATACGAGGAGCAGAGGGAAGAAGGGACGGTGCCGAACAGCTTCTTGTCAGAGATTAGGGGGCCTCTGCGTGAAGTCTGTGAAATCAAGGAGATAGGTGCGCAGAACGTGCATGGATGTCGACACGTATATTCACTGATGTTGCGTTTGCCTTCTGATCCAGACTCTACTGGCATTGCTGTCCAAATCCAATGCCTCCCTCGCGAGCCCTTCGAGGTGACCGCTGGCGAGCCTGGCCCGAGGCTTAGAAGAGAGCAAATCGAGTAACACACGATTTAAAGAGAGGAAATCCACAGGGCCTTTACTGTGTTGATGTGTGTCTTCAAGTTCTATTGCCCAAGTTGTGACCAACGATGGCAGCACGCCCAGGCTCCAATCGCCGGCCGGCTACAGGCTCAACTGCTCATGCGACGACCTCGAGCGCATCAAGAATGAGACCAATGGCGGCGACGGGTTCATTGTGCGGACGGTTCCGTTGTTTGTCGACACTGGT